GGCACGAGGCTTAGAGTAAAAGACAGGAAGGAAAATGTCCTGGCTGATGTGGAAATGCGACACCACCTTGGGGAGAAAGGCCAGGTGTTGCCTGAGTTGCATCTTATCCTTGTGGAAAACCATGTTAGGTGGGCCAGAGGTGAAGCCCGTTAGCTCAGACACCCTTCTCGCAGACGTAATGGAGACCAGGAAAGCTACCTTCCGAGACAGATACAGGAGGAAGCAAGTTGCGAGTGGTTCGAATGAGGGCCCCGTGAGCCTGGAAAGGACTAGGTTAAGGTCCCACACAGGGACGGGTTGCCGGATCTGAGGATATAGATGGTCCAAACCTTCGAGGAAGCGACCAACCATAGGGTTGGCGAAGACCAATCCATCAGACGCACATGGGTGGAAGGCCGAGATAGTAGCGAGGTGTACCCTTATGGAGGACACCACCAGGCCTTGATGTTTCAGGTGTAGGAGGTACTCTAAGATGGGGGGTACCGGTACCTGGAGAGGGGCTGTGCAACGTTGGTCACACCAACATGAGAATCTTTTCCACTTTGCCAGATACGTGGCTCTAGTAGAGGGCTTCCTGCTGCCGAGGAGGACCTCCCTTACATGTTCTGAGCACAGAAGTTCCATGGGGTTCAGCCATGAAGCTTCCAAGCCGTGAAGTGGAGGGACCGTAGGTTGGGGTGACAGAGGTAACCGTGGTCCTGAGTAAGTTGGGGAGGAGCGGTAACGTGACCGGTTTATCCATCAACAGCTCCAGCAGCGTGGTGTACTAGTGCTGTTAAGCCCACGCTGGAGCTAACAGAATTACCTTTGCCCCCTCCTTGCAGAGCTTGAGCAGGACCTTGTGCATGAGAGAGAAGGCGGGGAAGGCATAGAGCAGGCGACCTCTCCAGAGTAGCAGAAATGCATCCATGAGGGAGTCTGGGCTGTGATCCTGGAAAGAGCAGAACGTTGGGCACTTCCTGTTGTGTCGGGTGGCAAACAGGTCGACCTGGGGAAACCCCCACCTTTGGAAATTGAGGTGTATGACATCTGGACGGATGGACCACTCGTGTGTGCAGAAGGACCTGTTGAGGTGGTCTTCCAGCGTGTTCTGAACTCCTGGTAGAAAGGATGCTTCCAGGTGAATGGAGTGGACTATGCAAAACTCCCCTATGATGGGGGGCCCTTCAGCTGTGGGAGAGGAACGGACTCCCCCTTGCTTGCTGATGTAAAACATGATGGTGGTGTTGTCCATTAGAATCACTGTGCACTGGCCTTGCAGTTGGGTCTAGAAGGCCTGGCAAGCGAGGCGAACCCCTCTCAGCATCTTGATGTTGATATGTAGGGAGAGCTCATCCTGTGAGCACAGGCCCTGTGTCTGGAGGCCCCCCATCCCAGAGTCAACACGTCCATAACCAGGGACAAGGAAGGTTGAGGGTTGTGGAAGGGGACACCTCCGCACACCGCTTTGGGGTTGAGCCACCAGGGGAGGGACGTGAGGACCTGCTCTGGCACCGTGACCACTGAATTCAAGCTGATGCGCCCCCGGTAATAGGCCAAGGCGAGCCATGCCTGCAATGGCCTGAGCCACAGCCTGGCACGCCACATCACATAAGTGCAAGAAGCCATGTGACCGAGGGGACTCAGGCACCCCCTTGCTGTTGAGGTTGGGAATTTCTGGAGGCTTTGAATTATGTCCTTGATGGTTCGGGACTCCGGTAGAAGGGCCCGCACCTGGACCGAGTCTAACACTGCCCCAATGAATTCTATTCTCTGGGTTGGTTCCAGGGTCAACTTCCCCAAGTTAAGGAGGAAACCCAGCCGCTCGAACGTGCACCTAACCAAACAGATTTGGGACCGCACCTGTGCCCTGGGGAAGCCCCGAGCAGCCAGTCGTTGAGGTAGGGGTAATTCCTGCACCTGCTGGCGACGGAGGAAAGCAGCCACGACCGACATGCACTTGGTGAACACTCGGAGGGGCTACTGAGAGGCCAAATGGTAGGGATAATAGTGCCTAGGGAGATCATGCAGAACTTCAACTTTACCACGAATTTGTTGAGCCCACACAGATCTAGGATGGGCCTGAGACCCACTTTGGCCTTGGGGATTAGGAAGTATCAGGAGCAGAATCCTTTGTCCCTTAGCTCCTGAGGAACCTACTCCACCGCTCCCATGGTGAGGAGCGCCTGCACCTCCTGGTTAAGGAGTTGCTCATGAGAGGAGTCCCTGAAGAGGGATGGGGGCGGAGGGTAGGAGCAGAACTGGAGAGAGTATCCCACTTCCACCATGTGGAGGACCCAGTGGTCTGAGGTTATTTGGGTCCAGGCATGGTAGAAGTGGGACAAACTATTCAAAAAGGGTGGGGAAGGATCCAGGAATGAGACTGGTAAGCTGTCCTCAGGCGTCCCTTCAAAAGGCCTGCTTGGAACCCGACGATGGTTTGGTTGGGCCCTGGCCTAGTCTGGAAGGAGGGCTGGAAGGCTTCCTTCCGCTGTTCCTTCCCCTTCTTCTGTAAAAGTCCTGCCTTGGCCAAGGAGGGTAGGAGAGCTGCTGGGGTGTTGGGGCTTGAAATGCTTCTGTTGGGTTGCCGGGGTGTGTATACCCAAGGATTTCATAGTAGCCCTTGAGTCTTTTAGACTATGCAGCTGAGAGTCAGTCTGCTCTGTGAATAGGCCCGCCCCATCAAAAGGCAGGTCCTGCATTGTCTGCTGAATCTTGGGCGGTAAGCCTGAGGATTGCAACCATGAGATGCGCCTCATGGCAATACCCGAGGACAAGGTGCACGCTGCCAAGTCCGCAGTGCCCAGTGAGGCCTGTAAAGAGGTCCGTGCCGCCGCCTTGCCGTCCTCTACTATGGCTCCAAACTCCTCCCTGGACTCAGGTGGCACAAGCTCCTTGTGCTGGTTGGCAATCCTGAGCTGGAGCCCCTCCGTGGAGTACACTTTATGCCCGAACAAGTCCAGGCGCTTGGCCTCCTTGGACTTGGGCACTGGGGCTTGCTGCCCTTGCCTCTCTCTCATTTACTGCCGCAACCACCAATTAACAGGACTGCGGGTGTGTAAAGAGGTATTCCTACCCCTCTGAGGGCATGAAGTACTTCCTCTCAATGCCCTTGGCTGTGGGAGGGATGGAGGCCGGAGTTTGCCAGATAGTCTTGACATTGGCCTGTATAGTTTTGATGAGGAGCAGTCTCATCCTCGAAGGACCTTCAGGGGCCAAAATGTCGACCACTGGGTCCTCTGACTCCTCCACTTCCTTTGCCTGCAGACCCATGTTGTGTGCCACCCTGCGCAGGAGGTCCTGGTGGGCGCGGCTGTCTATAGGAGGCGGTCTGGAGATGGAAGTGCCTGCAAAAGCCTTGTCTGGGGAGAAGGCCCAAGAGGCCAATGGGGGAACAGGGTCCTCCCACCTCTCCTGCTCTTCAGGAGCCTGATGACCTGCTTCGCTGGCAGCACCAGACTCAGAAACCAGAGTTGCAGTTGGTCCGAGGGGGAAGTGGGGGCACGGTGTCTCCTCAGCATCCGCAGGGATGGGGCGACAGGCTGAGGCCTCTGGCACCCTCAGTTCAGAGGTGGCAGATTGGGAGCCTTTAGACTGGGCACCCTGGGCCTCGTGGTACACCCACAGGGTGGTACGAGAAGCTTGGCTTGAATCGTAGGTGACCTTGGAGCGGTCATGATGATGAGGTCCCTTGCGACCACAAAGGTGTCCAGGGTGGATGGCAGCTCCACCTCCTCGATGATGTGGGCCCGGAAGTCCAATGGCACCAGACTCGACAGTCCCCCTTGCAGGGCTGAAGTCAACAGTGCCGTCTCCGCAAGTTTCAGCACTAGGCGCTCCTCACGAGGACACGCCCCATTGGCTGGCTCCAGAGGGGGCGGCCTCTGGGACTGAGAGCCACTCCTCCCTTGCTTCTGGTGCCGCTTCTATGCTGGGGAGTGGGAGCGGTGCCGGGAAAAGGCAGTGCTGTGGGTCTCTGCTAGAGTCTGTCTGCAGCGCCGCTTCCACCACTGCTGCCAGGGAGCTACACACTGAAGAACTCAGTGCTGGGTCCTGCCACACTGACAGCAGCTGAAGTCTAAGTGCTGCCTCCATAAGGAGCTGCTTAAGGCAAAAGTCTTGCTCCTTTTTGGTTCTGGGGCAAAACCCTTTGCAAATCCTGCACCTATTGGCTTGGTAAGCCTCCCCCAGACACTTCAGACAAGCATCATGGGGGTTGCCCACTGGCATGGGCTTGGAGCAGGACTTGGGCATGAAAGCCCTCCCAAGAAAAAGTAGTCAGGATAGAGGGTAAACCCCCCAGCCCAACCGCTATGAACTACTACTAAAATAAAAACTAATTAAAAAGGTATAAGAAACAGAGAGAAAAGAAAGAGCTAGGGAAATGTCTCAGTTCCAACGACTGTCAATAGTGGTAAGAAGGAACTGAGGAGGTGCCAGGTCGGCAGGGTCATATATTGAGCACCATGAAGGCGCCACTCCTGGGGGCTCCACAGCTGACCCGAGGGCTGCTGCTAGAGGAAAAAAAATTCTGACGACTACGCACGTGGCGTGCACACATCTAATTGGAATCGATATGAACAATCACTTGAACAACTATAGTTGACCCATAATTTTAATTAATTCCCTTTGTCCAAAAGTTTTAATTTTGAACAGAGAATTGACTAAAACAGAGAATCCACACTCACAAAATTGCTGACAATTGATATTGTCTAAATTTCAACCAGCCCTACTGAAAGTCTAAAACAGATTTTTTCTTGTATGTTTAAGTTTACATATCCATTACAGTGCACACCTTTTATAAGAATCACATCTATCCTAAATGATTTGATTCTTAAAAATGGTTGATTTTTACAAATGGTGTATTTTAGTTTGGTGGTTCTGATCACTATATGCAGCTGATTCTTATAAATGGAGTGTACGATAATAGATAAATACAAATGAACATGTGTCAATTTAACAAAAAGGTATTCAAAAAATTTGACCAATAAAAGTTATTTTCTACACAGTCCAGAACGTACCATTTGAAGAGCAGAAAGTTCTTCTGTTAATCGAGAAATCTGTATATTGTAATGCTTCCTTGCATTCTCTACCTGCAATAATAATAATTAAAAAAAGAAAAGAAAAAAAAGATATTTTACTTAATCTGCACAGATTATTTTTCTATCTTATGATACATGTTTATGGGACTGGAACTGCTGACAGAAATGGACCATTGCTGTACACTAACATATGAAATACGGCCTTTATCCATGGAACACTAATGCTAACTAACCTGTGCCCTAGTACTTCTGAGGAGATCTTTAATTGACTCTAGAGAGGAAACTGAGAGATTCCTCAAGAACAGAGAATTAGAGTTAAAAACAACTATACTGAGATAACACAAACAAAAGGGCATTTATCAGTGTTCGGCACTGAAAATTCTTGAGAAGAGAAAGAAGAAACTTTGTCCTCTAGATTTTAGAGGAAAGAGAAAAAAGATTAATAAAGTAGTTAAGGTTAATGAGAATTATAAATTATACAGAAGTTATTAATTAGGTACATTTGATGAAGGGGATGAGGTGGACATGGAGCTGCAATCTGATAATCTCATGAATACTGTATGTGACCTATTTATGGAGATAGACTGTATAACTACATGAAGGTAATGCAATATTTGTTATATGCCTTCACTGTTTTACTTCAATGGGGACAGTTGGAAGAACAAGCAAAAAGACAACAGAATGACTCCCACAGATAAGAACATCCTGGCATACACCTGAAAGACAATGGGAAAAGCTATTAGCTTCCAGGATCCTATATTGGGGCAGGCAAACTTTTTGGCCTGAGGGACGCATCTGGTTTCTGAAATTGTATGGAGGGCCAGTTGGGGAGGCTGCGTCTCCCCAAACAGCCAGGCATGGCCTGGCTCCTGCCCCCTATTCCCCCCCCCTCGCCCCACTTCTTGCTCCCGATGGCTACCCTGGGACTCCTGCCCCATCCAACCCCCCCGTTCCCTGATGGCCCCATCTACCCCTCACCCTGCTCTCTGTCCCCTGACCGCCCCTGGACCCCCTGCCCCATCCAACCCCCCCTCTCCTTCCTGACTGCCCCCTCCCAGACCCATCCAACCCCCCCTCCTTCCTGACTGGCCCCCCAGACCCCTGCCCCATCCAACCCCCCCTCTCCTTCCTGACTGCCCCCCCGACCCCTGCCCATCCAACCCCCCCCTCTCCTTCCTGACTGCCCCCCTCCAGACCCCTGCCCCATCCAGCCAAAGGAGGAAGTGCCAGCCCCCAGCGTCAAGGCAGGACGCAGCCTGGAGAGCGCAGGAAGAGGTAACATGCAGCTTCAGCACTTCTTTCCTTGGTTGCAACCCCACACATTTGCTAGTGATTGTTTTGTTTTGTTTTTTCAAAGAAGTTAATAAACAGCATGCCTGATGCTAATATTCAAATCCCAATAACATTAAAGTCAATGGGACAAGACTGGCTCCTGACAAAATGTTGCTATTAGTTTCAGGATTATGATTAACGGGCATCCACTATATTGTAATTCTTTGAAAAAATGTGAACGCAAAAACTGACGTTTTACTTTTAGCTGGTTTTGTGAAAAGGTGGAAAACTCCAGCTTTCACATTCATGTTTGTGCACGAAGATGAAAAGTGCTTTTCCCACCATGAAATCCTAGGCTATTGAAGTTTACATAGTCATTTTAAGACAAATCTGAAGAGCTCTGTGTGACTCGAAAGCTTGTGACTTGTGCCAGCAGAAGTTGGTCCAATAAAAGATATTACCTTACCCACCTTGTCTCTCTAACACTTCTCAGTGAAAGCCTCTTCTCTTATGCAGAAGAGAATTTGGAAATAATGCTCCACTGATGCAAAAAAAATGAGAAGGCAATTTTAACCACACTTTGCAGCTCACTCTGTGCTCTCAAGAGGCAATCAGCAACTCACAGGATCAGGTGCTATATCAGTAAATTAACTGTAGCTCTGGGTTTATCTCAGTAAAACATCAGGCATAATGAATGCTAGTGAACATATTTACAGAAGTGAATGTTTCTTTAAGAATCCATGTAAAGGCTCTCTCTACATCTGCACGGACAGCAACATTTTAGGTCCTCAGGGCATTTGTGAGAATCTTTCATGAGTCATAAGAGTACACTTCTTCTGTGCCATCTAGACACTTGAAGTTCTGCCAACATACTGTACATCCTTGCAGTAGAGAACTATACTGTTAGAATGCTTGCAGGAAGACTGCTGACATTAACAGTGCACCATCGACTGTTTTTGATGCTGTAAAAAACTACTAGGGAAAACTTTTCTATATTATTATCTTGCATAACATCTCTGCACTATGAAAGATTTCTTTATATTGAATCCGATGAAGTGAGCTGTAGCTCATGAAAGCTTATGCTCAAATAAATTGGTCAGTCTCTAAGGTGCCACAAGTACTCCTTTTCTTTTTACGAATACAGACTAACACGGCTGCTACTCTGAAACCTATAGAACAATGTTCATGAATTTGAATTGACATAAGCTTTTATCTTAGAACTACCAGCCCTTTCAGCTCTACAACCTCTGACAAAGTAGTAAAAGTATCTGCCAAAAATAATGTAATTAAGGTTCTGCATGTTTCAGAGTAAACCCAAAATCTAGGTCTTCAGTTGTACCTGCCAAGTCATCAGGAAACCATCAAATGCAGCTAAGCTACAGCAGAACCACCTGACTGGCTATAGCAGTAAGGTGGCTTGCTTGTTGGCTGCCTGATGACTGAGTAAGCGCAGCACGAGACCTTGGTTTCTGACATTTTTTTCATGTTTACTTGAATGATATGCAGACAATTAATTACCTAATTTTTGGCAGATACCGTTAATACTTTGTCAGAGGTTGTACAGTTGAAAGGACTAGTGGTTCTAATAAATCTAAGACAGACCTTCATTAATAGTTATTAAATATAAATTCAATTGTCTGGACAATTTTAATCTAGAGAAAAACTAAATACTTAAAACAAAAAGTGTTTACTGAACTAAGATGCTTCATGCTTGTCAAATGAATACATTAATTTTTAAGTATTTTGAACATGATGTCCTCTTAGTTTTAGAAAGTGGAAACTAAATTAAAAGGTGAGTATATTGTCACTTGCTACACTTAAGATCAGGAGCAGCATCTTGAAGTGGATAAGGATACTGGCAGATTGAAGTGCAATTGACAGTTACATAGTTTCCATGTCTGTCTACACTACAGTAGAACTTCAGAGTTACGAACACCTCGGGAATGGAGGTTGTTCATAAATCTGAAGTGTTCGTAACTCTGAACAAAACATTATGGTTGTTCTTTAAAAAGTTTACAACTGAACATTGAGTTAATACAGCTTTGAAACTTTACTATACAGAAGAAAAATGCTCTTGTAACCACCTTAATTTAAATGAAACTTGCACAGAAACAATTTCCTTACCTTGTCAAAAAAATTTTATACTTTCCCATACTTTTTTTAAGTAGTTTAACAATACTATACTGCCTTTTTTTCCTCTCTGCTGTCTGATTGCAAACTACCAATTACAAATGAGATGTACGGTTGACCAGTCAGTTCACAATTCTGGTGTAACTCTGAGGTTCTACTGTATTTAAAATTTATGACATGCTCCCATGAACGAGTTGGAATTAATTGATAAATTTAACAGCAACACCGGGACCAGAAGGCATTCACCCAAGAGTTCTGAAAGAACTCAAATGTGAAACTGCAGAACTTTTAACTATGGTTTGTAACCTGTCCTTTACATCAGCTTCTGTACCCAATGACTGGAAGATAGCTAATGTAGCGCCAATATTTAAAAAGGGCTCTAATGGTGATCCTGGCAATTACAGACCAGTAAGTCTAACGTCAGTACCGGGCAAATTAGTTGAAAAAATAGTAAAGAATAAAATTGTCAGACACACAGAATTGTTGCGCAAAAGTCAACATGGTTTCTGTAAAGGGAAACCATGTCTTACTAATCTATTAGAATTCTTTGAAGAATTCTTGTCAAACATGTGGACAAGGGGGATCCAGTGAACATAGTGTATTTAGATTTCCAGAAAGCCTTTGACAAGGTCCCTCACCAAAGGCTCTTATGTAAATTAAGTTGTCATGGGATAAGAGGGAAATTCCTTTCATGGATTGAGAACCGGTTAAAAGACAGGGAGCAAAGGGTAGGAATAAATGGTAAATTTTCAGAATGGAGGGGGTAACTAGTGGTGTTCCCCAAGGGTCTGTCCTAGGACAAATCCTATTCAACTTATTCATAAATGATCTGGAGAAAGGGGTAAACAGTGAGGTGGCAAAGTTTGCAGACGATATTAAACTGCTCAAGATAATTAAGACCAAAGCAGACTGTGAAGAACTTCACACAGATCTCACAAAACTAAGTGATTGGGCAACAAAATGGCAAATAACATTTTATGTGGATAAATGTAAAGTAATGTACATTGGAAAACATAACCCAAACTATACATACAATATGATGAGGGCTAATTTAACTACAAATAATCAGGAAAGAGATCTTGGCGTCATCATGGATAGTTCTCTGAAGATGTCCACGCAGTGCGCAGCGGCAGTCAAAAAAGGGAACAGGATGTTAGGAATCATTAAAAAAGGGACTGAGAATAAGACGGAGAATATCTTATTGCTCTTATATAAATCCATGGTACGCCCACATCTTGAATACTGTGTACACATGTGGTCTCCTCATCTCAAAAAATATACTGGCATTAGAAAAGGTTCAGAAAAGGGCAACTAAAATGATTAGGGGTTTGGAATGGGTCCCATATGAGGACAGATTAAAGAGGATACGACTTTTCAGCTTGGAAAAAAGGAGACTAAGGGGCATTGATAGAGGTATATAAAATCAGGAGTGGTGTGGAGAAAGTGAAGAAGAAAAAGTTATTTACTTGTTCCCATAAGAAATAGGGGCCACCAAATGAAATTAATGGGCAGCAGGTTCAAAACAAATAAAAGGAAGTTCTTCTTCACTCAGCGCACAGTCAACCTGTGGAACTCCTTGTCTGAGGAGGTTGTGAAGGCTAGGACTATAACAGGGTTTAAAAGAGAACTGGGTAAATTCATGGAGGTTA